CCTGCTGTTCCTGGAACATACCATGACGCCCCCAGCCTGGGCCTTTGCCCTAACTGTTCCTCGGCTGGAATGTTCTTCCCTGGATGCCTCACTCTCTCCCCTTACTTATATCTGCTTCAGCTTCACCTTCATGAGGCCTTCCTGCTTCCTGCTCTCCCCATCCTGTGCTTAATTTTCTTTTTCTCATAGCACATATGACTTTCTAACAGCCATGTAGTTTATGAATTTACTGTGTTGTTTATTGTCGTCTCCTCTCATTATAATAAAGTTCCAAAGGACAGGGCGCTCTGTTTTGCTCGCTTTTGTGTCCCTAGCCCCTGGGATGGTTCTTGGCACAGAGCAGACCTCAATAAAAAGCCATTGAGTGAATGAATGACTTGTCAGGATTGAGAGAGAGAGAGAGTTATCCCATTTCAGTCGTGTTAGGATTTTGAGGGGCTGACAAGGGATAAAGAAAAATGGGTGCTTGACTTTCCCAGCTGCACCAAGAAAGACCGGAGGAGCTCCTGCGATGCATGTGTCTTCATTGTTTGGGTCAGAGGCTGAGAAGCAGAGCCTGAGATCTTGAGTGTGACACATGGTTCCCCTTCCCCATGCCTCAGTTGCTCTGTAAGTGGTCTTTGACCATCAGGAATTTACATAGCTTCACGCATTAATATTAATGAGTCATGAATATGCTCCTGCACACTGAGAGACAGGCATGGGATCTGGGCTTCCCCTAGACAAGGCAAGGAGCTTCTAGCTGCTTCTGCCTCTCAAATCAAGGCAGTTATCATTAGATCTTTATTTAGCCCATCCGCGTGCCAGACACAGTGCTAGGTGCTGCAGGGCCAGAGGAGTAGATCCTCTAGTTCAGTGTTCTCAACCTTGGCTGAACATTAGAATCACCTGGGAATCTTTTTAAAATCCTGATTTCTGGGTCTCATCCTCCGGAAATTTCATGAGGCCCAGAAATCAGGATTTTAAAAAGATTCCCAGGTGATTCTAATGTGCAGCCAAGGTTGAGAACCACTGCTCTAGTTGGTGAGAGCTGTTAGGACACTAAGAACGGCTGGTACGATTTGAACTTTGGCCCTTGCATTTAAACCTCACCTAGAACTGTTTGCAGTACGGGTGTTGTGGTTGAGTTTGTCTATAGCTGGAAATCTTAGAATAAAAGCTCCCTGGACTATTCCTGGGCCCGCCTGCATTTTTCCTGCCCACAAATGCGCCCGCAGGCTCTGATGGAAAGTAGGAATGAACTCTCCAGAAGGAGGTCCAGAGGTCAGGAGCGCAAGCCCCGCACTGGAGCTACCTTCCAGCTTGCCACTGTGCCCCTCCCTCTGTGACACTCCTGCCCCTCCTAGGCACTTAGCTCCGCTTTAGTCATCCTATCTTTCCCCACCCAATTTATAACCTTCCAGCCCCCTGTAAAGAGCTGCGTTTAAGCTTCATCCAGCTCGGTCACTGACCCAGGAGGTGACCTTGGATCAATCAGGCTCCTCTTAGCGATTTCGTGGGTTATATGTTGGAGGGAAAACTAGAAGTATTTTCATCAAAACTCCTCCCATATTTCCATGTATGCCACATCACATTGCCCCCACCTACTTACTTTTATTCCTGAAACAACTTTATAAAGTCAAGAAAAACACTGTGTAATTTTACATTCACTTTTGGTTCCCACCATCTGCCACACCTTTAATATCTTACACCCCTCCTCCCCCAGTTACCAGGGAAACAGACATGTAAACAGCAGTTAGCCATACACAGCTCGGGTAGGTGTGGCGGGGCCAAGGAAGGAAGGCCAGGCCTGCGAGGTGCTCCTGAAGTCCAAACAACAGGACTCCTCAGAGATGTCAGGGCCGGCAGATGGTGTGAACAGCTGAGGTTTCTGCTTGGGGTTCAGTTGGATGGTGTTGCCATGTAGTATAAGTGGGGTGGGGCGGGGGAGAGCAGAGACAGTTTGGAAGGGTGGGGGGAGGGTGTAGCAGAAAATAATAATGGTGTGACCCTTTATTGGACATCTCTGTGCCCAGCTGCCTGCACACCAGAGCTTCTCACACTTGACTGTGGGCTGACTGCCTGGGTGTTTTGTTAAAATGCAGATTTGAGCTCAGTGGGTCTGGGTGTGTCTGAGAGGCTGCATGTCTGACAAGCTCTCAGTTGATGCCTACACTGCTGTTCCTGGGCGCTCCCGAGCAGCGCGAGGGTGCAGCCCACCTGCGGGCGTGCAGGGGAAAGTGCCCTGTGGGGCTTGGGGGTGAGGCCAGGACCAGGTGAGGAGGTCTGAGATCAGCCAAGAGCAGGCAGAATGTGTGGAGAAGGCAGAAGCTTGGCTAAAGTGGCTTCTGGGAGAGATGAAAAAGAGCCAAGCAGGCATGGTTTGGGGAGCCTCCTACAAAGGTCAGATGAGGGCGGAGGGTGAGGGCCCAGCACAGACAGCGGGGTAGACAGTGAGTCACAGAGTGCTCCTACTGGGCAGCCGCAAGCAGCTGTGCACCTGTGCACCTGGTCTCAGCTTCACCTGGAAACTGTCTGAATTGGGCCAGTTGATTTGA